CTTTTTTGCCCAGGCACTAACCCAGTTTAGTTGCTCGCTCGTGCTGTGTGCAGTTACAGCACGGAGATGTGAGTGTGCTGACTGGGAGGCCTTGTTGTGCAGCGGGTGAGAGCATCGGGAACAAAACGATCGGCCCCGGCCATTCATGTCCACGTTGATGCCTCTGTGTTTGCTTGCAAGCAAAGGCGGGAGCTAATTTGCAAGGCTGCCTTTGTGGAGCTGCCTTTTGATCAATGATTGCCTGTGTTAATGTTTCAGCAAGCTATTGATTTCTGCAACAGCTTTTGTTCCCTGAGTATATGTGCAGCGGGTCTCTGCAGCACACACTATGCATGTTTGATTAAAGTTCAATTGACTTCGTTCCTGGTAAGGCCTCTGGTTGCCTCATTCCCTATTTGTAGAACCAAAGCTTTTCCCTACATGTTCTTTTGTTTGTGCTCAAGACCTAGCCACCCATGCAGTCACCAGTATGCTGTTTCTAATCCTCCTAGATTCGCTCCATTCCAGTGTTTAATCCCCTCGTAGACATTACAGTGGTTGAGAGGCAGCTAATAAAACCTGGCCTGGATTTTTTTTTAAGTCAACTTCACTGATGTGTAATTGGTATGCATACCATTTATACCATAAAAATGCACCTACTTTACGTTCAATGACGGCACAGTTCAAAGAATTTGATAACTGTACCTCCATGCAAATAACACCACAATTGGTTCATACGATACTCTCTTCACCCCAAAAGGTTTCCTCATGTTCTTTTATAGGTAGTTTTCTACTTCCTTGTCCTTCAGGCGCATTTACTTTTTGTGATTGTAAATTTGCCTTTTCTAGAATGGAATCATAGAGTCAGTACCCTTTTCTCTCTGGCTACTTACATTCAGTGTGATGTTTTGAAATTCATCCATATTGTCAGGTTGATCAGTAGTTTGTGCCTTTTTACTGCCAAATAGTATCTAGCAAATGTGTGCACAGTAATATGTTTATCCATTCTCCTGTTGAGGGGTGTTTGGATTGTTTCCAGCTTTTGGCTACAAAGAGTACAGTTTCTGTGAACATCTGTATGAAAGTCTTTGCTTGAGCATATGTTTTTATTTCTTTTGGTTAAACACCTAGGAGTGGAATCAATTGCTGGGTCATATGGTAAATGTTTGTTAAGCTTTGTAAGAACTGCCAAAGTTTTACAAAGTGGTTGAACCATTTTATATTCCCACCAGCAATGTATGAGAGTTCTAGTCACTACCCCATCTTCCTGAAGTTTGAAATTTATATTTGCATTTTCCAAACTAATTTATAGGCCTATAGTGGAGACTCCTTCTGGCTTGGTCGTTTGATCCTTGGTACTCAGATAATAGAATCTGTTCTGGACTCCTTTTCCTTGTTTTGGTTTTTAAGATTTTTATTTATTTGTCAGAGAGAGAGCACGCATTGGCACAAACAGGGAGAAGCAGGCTCCCCGCTGAGCAAGGAGCCCCGTGCGGGCCTCGATCCCAGGACCCTGAAATCATGACCTGAGCTGAAGGCAGACACTTAACTGAGCCACCCAGGCGCCCTCCTTTTCCTTGTTTAAAAGCTATTCTTTCTTTCTTTCTTTCTTTCTTAAGATTTTATTTATTTGAGAGAGAGCATGCGTGCATAAGAGTTCATGAGTCTGGGGGGAGGAACAGAGGGAGAGGGAGAAGCAGACTGTCCGCTGAGCAGGGAGCCCAACTGTGGGCTCAATCCCAGGACCCTGAGATCATGACCTGAGCTGAAGGCAGATGATTAACCAACTGAGCCACCCAGGGGCCCCTAAAAGCTATTATTTAAGTGTTGACAAAAAGTTTTTGTTATTTCAATATTAGATTTCTTTGTCATGTCCTAATTTTCTCACATACTGTAGGAGTGGAGTACACAGTGCAGGAGTGGAAGTTAAAGTTGGGAACCTGTGCTTTTCTCCTGAGCCTTTTTCTGTCTGGTGTCATAGCCTCACTGAACTCTGGCTTCCCAGAATTTAATCGAGTTATGCCGTCTTTTAAAACCATTTGAAACGCTTTGAGACATTCATATTTGAGAAATAGAAATACATTTGACCTTAACACGGGTTAAAACGGCTCAGGTTCACTTACAAGCAGATTTTTTTATATATATGTATGGTCCAGTACTATATATACATTTTTCCTTTTTATGATTTTCTTAGTAACATTTTCTTTAGTTTACGTATTGCAAGAATACAGTAAATAATATAACATACACAGTGTGTGTTAATTGACCATTTATATCATTGGTAAGATTTCTGGTCAACAGTAGACTGTTAGTTTTAGGAGAGTCATAAGTTGTACCTGGATTTTTGGCTATGGGCGGCGGCAGAGGTGGGGTGGGCGCCCCCACCCCCAATTCCTTGTAACTGCGTGAGGCAGTACTGTGCTAGACCAGCACCGCATGGAGACGTCAGTGCAGCTGCTAACAGCCGTCCGCTCTAGCTGAGGTTTAGCAGAGACCCTCATTTTCTCTCCCATTTTTGATTCCTTCTGTCTCCTATAGCTTCACATTTCCTCTTACATCCCAGGCTTCTCATCTGCTAGCCCGTAAAATGACTTCAGCTAGAGGAGGCAGTGGGAGGTACCACTTTGGGGTTTCACATTCTTCCTTCTAGTTTTGGGATTGGGCCATGATTTACTGCACTGGTTGTCTTTTTGAACCGATAGAGCATGTCACTCTGACAAAGGATTGAAGGGTGACAGTGACTTGCCTTGGCTTTTGTTCTGTATTTTCTCATAGGAAAACCAGAGTCAGATCAGTTTTATATCAGCACAGGTCTCTTAATCCCCTAGTGGATTTATGAATTTGTTGCCTCTAGCCAGCCAACACCAAAAGATCAGTACAGATAAGTGACTTTCCAAGTCAGGAAAATAGGAAGTAAAGAGGCAGGAGCCAGGAGGTTCTCGGATCATGACCTAGGGGCTCAGGATGCTCCAGTCACCACAGGGACAATTGTAGCCTACATTTGTGGAATAACATGTGATAGACAAACAGGTCAGAAATCCAAGGGCATTCCTACATTTTCCCTTATCGCTGAGTTACTGTCTCATGGAACTGAAAAGAGTGGGGTGAGCTTGCAGACTTGTGTGTGCTAGTCCTTGGTGGTTGACTCCTGGCCTCCTTGGCCTGGGGTCATGCTTCATCTGTTAAATATCGGCAGTCACTAGCATTTTGTTAAGTGGCACTTGGAAAGACTGAAACATAACGACAGCTCCAAGAGATACATGCTCTAGGCTTATGGGAGCCAGTCAGAAGTTCCTTTTGAATCACAGGCTCCTTTAAGGATCTGACAACAGCTGTGGTCCCACTTAGAAAACACACAGGCATAGACTCCAACTCTGAGTAGTGAGCACCCAGCACACACGTACTACCTGCTTTGCAGAAGCCATTTCCCCGCTTGAAATCTGTCCACTTCTCTACAAACCCATTTCTCATCGCTCTAAGGCCATTGCTTTCTGGGGGGTGTTTTAATGAAACCTCATCTGACTGGATGCTCCAGCGATCACAAGAGTTTGTCGCGTGGTATCTGCCCTTGTTTGTCCACTTTAGTCTCCCCAATACTGGTCTTTCCAGCTAGATCTCAGGTCACTGGAGAACAAAATCTTTGTTTCTCTCTCTTGGCTCCTCCATTCACAGGGCACTGAGCCTTTCGTGAGGCAGTGTGCTGTGGCCAAGTAGCTCCCACGATGGGGTACGAGTTGCCCACAGGGTGGCTTCCCAGGATTCAGTAGTCAGCCACGCTAATTGATTGTCCACAAGATTGAATTCAGTTAGAGACAATCAATGTGAACTACACACTTCCGCTGCTTTGTTTTTTTTGTTTTTTGGTTTTTTTAATTCCAGGTAAAGATACTTTATTGGGATGTTTAAGAAATTGGTATTGTGTCAACCAGGGTTAGCCAAACATGCCATTCACCTGTTGGTGTGTATGGTGTGCCTGCTGAGCTCCTGGAGGTGGGGGTAGCAAAAAGTGCCCCTTTCTTATTTTTAAAGGTTTATTTGTTTGAGAGAGAGAGCACGCGTGCGTTCGCCCACCTGAGAGGTGGCAGAGGGAGAGAATCTTGAGCAGACTCCCCACTGAGCTCAGAGCCTGAGAAGGGGCTGGATCTCACGACTCTGGGATCATGACTTGAACCAAAAATCAAGAGTTGGACGCTCAACTCACTGAGCCACCCAGGCACCCCGAAACTGCCCCCCTTTCTGAAAGTTGCATTTGGGCTCATACCCCCTTGCTGTTTTTTTTGTTTTGTTTTGTTTTAAAGATTTCTTGCCTTCCTTTCTGCTGGGCCATGGAAAGAATAGCTCCTTCTGCTATAAAGGCTGGCCTTGTGACATATGGCACTTCCCCTCTGCGTCAACACCACTGTGTCTGTCCCTCAGGGTCTTACCTTGTCTTCACCTTCAGGAAGCTGTACTAGCTTGTCCTGATGTGGGCACTCAGATTGGGGTAGAGGCTGTGGAGCAGTTTTCCTGGATTTGGGGTCTCTGTTTTTCTTGACCCCCGTTCCCCATCATCTCAGTTGTTTCCTTTGCTTCTTTCTGGAATAATCTAACTGTCCAGGCATTTCCTTGTCATACCTGTATGATTCCAGTGGAATGCTGTGAAGAAAACATCTGTGCACACACACAGCTGGAGGGCAGGGATTTTCCTTCTTTTCGATTGTTTATTGGTGTACCTCCGTGGTGTCATCTGGCACATGGTAGGCACTCAGCAAATACTTGTTGAATGAACGAATGTTCTTGAAATCTAGAAATTCTGCTCTGCTGGGCTGAGGGGACAAGCCCATTCATCCAGTTAGTGGGCAGCTCACAGGTGTGTCTTGAGCAAGCACCGTTCCTCTCATGACTGTCCTTTGTGCTCATTTCCAGCACAGCTGTTAGGAACCAGCTGCTGCTCCTGGCGGAAGAGGGCGGGCGTGCTGTGGGAACAGGAGAAGCAAAGCCCCTCTGAACCCTTCCGTCACAGCCAGCCTTCTCTCCTGCAGGGGGAGCTGATCACCTTCTATTACTACTGGAAGAAAACCCCCGAAGCAGCCAGCTCCCGGGCCCATCGGAGGCACCGCAGGCAGGCCGTGTTCAGGAGGATCAAGACCCGCACCGCATCCACACCCGTCAGCACGCCCTCCAGACCCCCCTCCAGCGAATTCCGTAAGTGAGGGACTTCTCCCACGCAGCCACAGGTGCATTGTCCCAGCTCTGGGCCCACCCTCACAGGCATCCTTGTCACAGTACAGGTTGGGGACATAGTGGGTGCTGTGCATATGTGCAGAGCCTGCACCCAGATGTAGCGCTGACTTTGGGGTTTTGGTAGCAGAGTTTTACGAATTATTCATGCATTTAAATTTTTAAAATAAACTCAACATCATTTTAATTTTTTAGGGAAATGTAAGTCTTGACCATCTCTCGGGGTGTTTTCAGTAACTTCGTTGGAGGTTGTTCACTTCGTAGATGATGTACTGAGTCTCATTGCATTGGTATTATGTTAGCAGTAAGAGCAGATTAACATTTTCTTCTTTTTCCTCCTGCTTTACCAAGATCCTCCTCTTGGTCCCAGTGTGATGTGCAGTCTAATACCTTCCTAACCCTTAAAAGCTGGCAAACAGCAGTGGGCCTTGTGGTTCTGTCCTGGCCCGTGGCACTCAGTCTGAGGGTTGCTTATGTTGCACTTGCAAACAAGAAATAATCCATTTGTGCTGGGGGGGGAGGGGAGGGGTGTAGGACTCGATGGAGAGGGAGCTCCTCAGGATGCCTGGATGTGTCAGGGAATGTATATGGATGTACTTCGCCTGTTCACATTCCCAGTTGTGGGTATCAGTGCCTCCCACGCCAGGATTCAGGTGTGATGTCAGTCTCCAAAAATAGGGTAGGGCAGACCCTTGGGTACTGCCCCACACACGAGTTCTTCCTTCTGATCTCTTGGCCCTGAGGAATTCAGAGTGGTCCTTCATGAACACTGCCCCACCTCAGCCTTCCAGGCCGCTCTGACTGGTGGCTTAGAGCCTGGGGCAGGTCACAGGTGGTCCCGGTCTTGGCCAAGCATGATGGTTTCTCCCCCACCCCTGTTGTGTTCCTGCCATGCCCAGTGGACTTGAGTTCAGCCAGCGAGGATGACTTTGACAGTGAAGACAGCGAGCAGGAATTAAAGGGGTACGCCTGCCGCCACTGCTTTACCACCAGTAAGTGGGGGTCGGGGGTGGGGGGAACAGTGGGAGCATTCACTGAGACAGGCCGGGCTCGGGCACTTTCAGGTTCTGAACATTTTATGAATCCAGTTGAAGATCTGCCAGAGTGTTATTGGCTTGACATTTGCATTGTGCTTCAGGGTTACTTGAGAAAGCAGAAATCTGTATATTTTGTCACTCCCCCGTTTACAGTCAGTGTGGTCGGGGTCGGGGTACCTGTGTTTTTGGGAAGCCTGTTGGCATCTCCTCCCAGGCACCATGAGATTGGGGAGGGAGGTGGATGTTCCTGAAATCCTCTCCCACCCTGGGAGAGAGCAGGCAGCAGCAGAGTGAGTGATGGGCACCTGTCTGAGCCCATGGAAGGGCCCCCCACCCGCATTCCTCTTCCCTCACGCAGCCTCCAAAGACTGGCACCACGGGGGCCGGGAGAACATCCTGCTCTGCACGGACTGCCGCATCCACTTCAAGAAATACGGCGAGCTCCCCCCCATTGAGAAGCCCGTGGACCCTCCCCCATTCATGTTCAAACCCGTCAAAGAGGAAGATGATGGGCTCAGTGGGAAGCATAGCATGAGGACTCGGCGCAGTCGTGGCTCGGTGAGTCCTCAGGGCAGGCGACCCGGGCCACTTCAGGTTACTAGGATGCTGGGGCTTGTGCTTCCCAGGAGGCTGGGAAGCAATTCATTTTAGGTAGAGAACCAGCCCCCTCAAAGAAGTGATGATTGGCTCAAAGGTATTTGTTTTGTCTGTGGGTCTGGAAAGAGCCTCTGCTTTCTCCCTCCCTGCCTCGTGTCGTCAGTGGGGTGCACGTCCTGAGCTTACTTTTACAGAGAATTCTTAGGTGTCAATGTCTGGTTCAGTGCAGGCTTTACAAGTCTCCCAACTTTCCTCTGGCCCCTGGGCCCACCACCTATAGTGTGGCATCTCTCTGCTACTTAAAACTTGCAGGTGCTTTTTTTTTTTCCTAATAGTTGATTCAGTTTTAGAAACTTTTGGTATATTTATCTCCTCACTGTATAGCCTTTTTCATAAAGAGGTTTTGTTTTCCAGGTTGGAAATGTGGCAGCAGGGACCTTTGGGAGCAAGGGTTTTCCCAGCTTGGGAGCTGGGGATGCCCCAGAGTCCTTCCCTGTGGCTGGCCTCCCCAGTGGCCCTTATACGCATGTAGATGGCACCGTTCATCTTCCTCTGGCCCTAGCATCTTGTCAAGGCTGCTTGTTCCCAGGCCACCCGGCAGATGGACTGACATGAATCATTGTCCCCCCATCTCTTCTGAGCCCCATGGCTTTGCAGAAACATGCTCAAGTGCTTGTGGTTTTAGGAGCTGAGCTACCTTATTTGACGGCTTCTCCTTTGGGTCACTTCTCGTACTGTCAGATGAAATCAGCAGGTGTTTGGTTTGGTTTGGGTGAGGAAGTGGGCAGTTCTGTGGAATAAACAGAAAGAGTGAGGTGATTTGAAGCAGAGCATATGATTGTCATTCTGGAGAACTTGGCAGAGTAGATGGCCCTCGCTGACTTCTGCCCCCTCAGAAAATCTTGCTCGTTTCTACCACACAATATCCAGGACCATCCCTGGAGATGAGTGCTTTGGGTTTAAGAATTGCTCTTTTCCATGTGAACCCACCCATTCACCCCCACCTCCTTTAGCTCCATATTGACCCCCCACACAGTGAGGGACAGCCAGAGGTGCCTGTGCTTGCCAGGGCCTGGTATTTGCCATAATGCTGGTGGTGGGGTCTGCTCCTGAGGCTCCTGCGTGTGTGCTGGGGTCTAGTCTCACCAGCCTCCGGTTTGGGTGGGCAGATGTCTACACTGCGCAGTGGTCGAAAGAAGCAGCCAGCCAGCCCTGATGGTCGTGCCTCGCCCATCAATGAAGACATCCGCTCCAGTGGCCGGAACTCGCCCAGCGCTGCCAGCACCTCTAGCAATGACAGTAAAGCGGAGACAGTGAAGAAGTCAGCCAAGGTGAGCGCCCGTCCCCAAGGGTAGTGGGCCTGCTTGGCCCTGCCTGTCATTAAAACCCCAGGTTGCTGGAGTTGATGTGCAGCTCCCTCAGATGAGGGGCTGCAGGATGTTCCTGGAGGCTCCCTGGGCATCAGCATTGCCCTAGACTAGGGCTGCAGACTGCGGCCTGGGGTCTAGGGTCTGGAGAAAGGGGGTCCAGTGCAGCTCTCAGCACTGACCTTTGGGGGCCATCTCTGCCTTGAGTTTCCCAAGGCCTCAGGGGCAAAGGGTAGGGTGTGATTGGAAAGGCTCCTTCCTCCCCCCCGCCCCAAGCCAAGTTATTTCCACCCCCAGATACTTGTTTTTTCCTGGCCTCAGCTAGTCCCTTCCAGAGCTTTCTTGCTTCTGGAGATGGAACTCCGAATTCGGGAGCAACGTGTCAGCAAACCATCGTCATTTACCCCGAGGCTGATGGGACATTCTCCCTTGGCCTGATGCCCCTCTTGGGCTTTCCCACTGCAGAAGGTGAAGGAGGAAGCCTCATCCCCCCTTAAGAGCACCAAGCGCCAGCGGGAGAAGGTGGCCTCTGACACAGAGGAGGCCGACAGGACCAGCTCCAAGAAGACGAAAACCCAGGTGAGATGCGCAGCTGAGCCACTGTGACTGTAGCTGGCAGCTAACACCCCTTGAGAGTCCTTGAGCCCAGATTCTCCCTGGGGCCTAGCGGTGCCCCATCTCCTAGGGAGGGACCTAGATTGGTTCCTGAGACTGGCCGAGTCGAAGGAGGACCTGCGGTCCCTGGGGCCAGGCTTGCCGCCTTGTCCGCTAGCAACGCAGGGCAGCAAGAGGCTCTGCTCTCCTAGAGCTTCATCCCTACCGTCTCTGGTCCTAGGAGATCAGCCGGCCCAACTCGCCATCCGAAGGTGAGGGAGAGAGTTCGGACAGCCGCAGCGTCAACGATGAGGGCAGCAGTGACCCCAAAGACATCGACCAGGACAATCGCAGCACGTCCCCCAGCATTCCCAGCCCCCAGGACAACGAGAGCGACTCGGACTCTTCGGCTCAGCAGCAGATGCTGCAGGCCCAGCCCCCAGCCTTGCAGGGGACCCCCAGTGCGGCCCCTCCAGCACCCTCCACCGCCCCACCGGGAACCTCCCAGCTCCCCACACCAGGGCCCGCGCCCTCTGCCACTGCAGGCCCTCCACAGGGCTCCCCCTCGGCCTCCCAGCCCCCCGGCCAGCCACAGGCCCCGGTGGTTCCTGCTCCCCATGCTCATATCCAGCAGGCGCCCGCCCTGCACCCACAGCGGCTGCCCTCACCGCATCCCCCGCTCCAGTCTCTGACCGTGCCAGCTGGCCAGACCTCCGCCCCACCTCACAGCCAGCCCCCGCTGCATAGTCAGGGCCCAGGTGGCCCTCACAGCCTCCAGGCTGGGCCCCTGCTGCAGCACCCAGGCCCCCCTCAGCCCTTTGGCCTCCCTCCCCAGGCCTCTCAGGCGTCAGCTCTCCCTCATGCCTCCTTGCAGCCCGCAGCCTCGCAGTCAACACTGCAGCCCCAGCAGCCCCCACGGGAGCAGCCCCTGCCGCCAGCCCCCTTGGCCATGCCCCACATCAAGCCCCCACCCACCACGCCCATCCCCCAGCTGCCGGCCCCCCAAGCCCACAAGCACCCACCTCACCTCTCAGGGCCCTCGCCCTTCTCCATGAATGCCAACCTCCCACCCCCTCCAGCACTGAAGCCCCTGAGCTCCCTGTCCACACACCATCCCCCATCAGCCCATCCCCCTCCCCTGCAACTCATGCCTCAGAGCCAGCCCCTGCCCTCCTCCCCTGCACAGCCCCCAGTGCTGACCCAGAGCCAGAGCCTGCCTCCTGCTGCTGCCGCTCACCCCCCAGCAGGCCTCCACCAGGTGCCCCCCCAGCCCCCATTTGCTCAGCACCCCTTTGTCCCTGGGGGACCTCCTCCCATCACTCCTCCAACCTGCTCCTCCACCTCCACCCCCACCCCAGCTGCGGGACCTGGCCCCTCGGCCCAGGCACCCTGCTCTGCTGCTGTTCCCTCGGGAGGCAGTGTACCCGGGGGGACAGCCTGCCCGCTCCCCACGGTCCAGATCAAGGAAGAGGCTCTGGATGATGCTGAGGAGCCTGAGAGCCCACCTCCCCCACCTAGGAGCCCATCCCCCGAGCCCACGGTGGTGGACACCCCCAGCCATGCCAGCCAGTCAGCCAGGTACCGGCTCCCCAGGAATGCGGGCACAGCCAGGGCAGGGATGGGCTGGGCAGCTGGGGCAGGCTGCGGCTTCTGCGGGGCCCCAGCGAGAGACGTGGCCTTCTTTAGGTTCTACAAACATCTGGACCGTGGTTACAACTCGTGTGCACGGACAGACCTGTATTTCATGCCTCTGGCGGGATCCAAACTGGCCAAGAAGAGGGAGGAGGCCGTCGAGAAGGCCAAACGGGAGGCTGAGCAGAAAGCACGAGAGGAGCGGGAGCGCGAGAAGGAGAAGGAGAAGGAGCGCGAGCGGGAACGAGAGCGGGAGCGGGAGGCAGAGAGAGCAGCCGTGAGTTGGGGGTCAGCCAGGCCGCGGGGGGTCCCTCCCCAGCTCTGCTCTTTGGCTCACTCTCCGATGCACAGCCCCATCCAGGGCACAAGGGAAGGTATAGGCACAAAGCCGACTGTCCCAGCAGGGGCTGGACCATGTCCTTGCGGCCCAAGCCTGTCCCCCGCCATGGCTGGGGCCTGCTCTGGGTGTTGGGTGGATGGACCACGTTGGCTGGCCAGTGCGGGAGGGCAGCAGGGCCGGGCTCAGCGCTGCATAGTGAGTGCCTGCCCCTCACAGCTTCCCTTCCTGCAGCAGAAGGCGTCCAGCTCAGCCCACGAGGGCCGCCTCAGCGACCCCCAGCTCAGCGGTCCCGGCCACATGCGGCCATCCTTCGAGCCGCCACCAACCACCATTGCTGCGGTGCCTCCATACATCGGGCCCGACACGCCTGCCCTTCGGACTCTGAGCGAGTACGCTCGGCCCCATGTCATGTCACCCACCAACCGCAACCACCCCTTTTACATGCCCCTCAACCCCACTGACCCCCTGCTGGCCTACCACATGCCCGGCCTCTACAACGTGGACCCCACCATCCGGGAGCGGGAGCTCCGGGAGCGGGAGATCCGGGAGCGGGAGATCCGGGAGCGGGAGCTACGGGAGAGGATGAAGCCAGGCTTCGAGGTGAAGCCCCCGGAGCTGGACCCCCTGCACCCAGCCACCAACCCCATGGAGCACTTCGCCCGGCACAGCGCCCTCACCATCCCCCCCACTGCGGGCCCCCACCCTTTTGCTTCTTTCCACCCGGGCCTGAACCCCCTGGAGAGGGAGAGACTGGCCCTGGCGGGCCCCCAGCTACGGCCTGAGATGAGCTACCCTGATAGACTGGCGGCCGAGCGGATCCACGCCGAGCGCATGGCATCGCTGACCAGCGACCCTCTGGCCCGCCTGCAGATGTTCAACGTGACTCCACACCACCACCAGCACTCACACATCCACTCGCACCTCCACCTCCACCAGCAGGACCCCCTCCACCAAGGTGGGTGACCCCCGGGCTGGGCTGTGAGAGGGTGTTGTGGGTTGAGTTCTGGTGTAACAAGGTACAGGGCAGAGGCAGAGCCGCTGTCCAGAAGCAGAGGCGGTTCTTTCCTGAAGGAATCCCTCATTCCTGACAGCTGAGAATGGTTTGCGTCTGTCTGGGAACCCTCTCGTTGCTTCCCTCACCCGCAGCCTTTGTCTCCACCCAGCCCCTCCGTTCTCCAGAGCTGCAAGTCCCCAGAACGCCAGTCACCCTGGGGCCCTTTGCTTGCCATTTCCTGGGTAAAGCCTAGGTTCTTGGCCCTGTACCTCCAGTGCCAGGGATGGTGGGAAGCAGCCTGTGCTCACTGAGTCGGGCTAAAGACAGGAAGTGGGGCCTGAGGAGCAAGGCAGAGCGTTGGAGCCCAGGTGGAGGCAACTGGGACACCCAGGGAGGCTCTAGGGTAGCTTTCGGCGAGAACTTAAAAGAACAGTCCTCCTGTTCCCTCTTTGGGTACAGGGCCTGGGCTTCTCTTGGCTCATCTGGCCGGGGCCACGCAGTCCCATCCGTTCTGGGAATGAGAGCTCCCAAAGTTCTGCCGACTGGCCAGCTGGGTGGAAGGCAGACAGGTGCAGCTGGAGTCCCTGCTCCGTCTATAGCTCTGCAGACCGGCTAGATGGGGTGGGAGGGGCTGGGCCTGCACTCGGGGACCAAGGCCTGCCATGGAGTCCCAGGGCACAGCCCACATGCAGGACTTCGGAGTGGCCAGACCTGCCTCCATGCTGGGGAGGAGGGTGACTGAGAGAGCAGGGCCCAGAGGTGGGGAGGGCAGCACCTTGCTTTCCACCTCTGCACCGAGCCCTGATGGGGAGGTTGGACTCTGTTCAGGCAGATGGTTCTGGGGAAGCCTGGGAGCTGTCCCTTTCACTCCATGGTCCTGACACCTGGAACTTTGATGCCACCCGGCATGGGCTGTCTAAGCCCCTGTGTAACCAGTGGATGTGCCTTAGTGCTGTTTGAGGACAGGCGATCATTCGTCCATACAACATTCATCCATGTGACAAATAGTTACAGAGCACCTGTGATATGTCAGGCGCAGCTGTAGATGCTGATAGCAACCCTGTCCATTTTACCGGCCCAGTCTGGGGGCAGTCAGTATACCTTGGAGTGTGAAAAGCAGTCCGGGTTCTGGAGGACAGCTAACCGGGGGAGGGAACAGGGGAGCTGGGAGCAAGGTTGCAATGGGGAGAAAGTCATGAGAAAGCCTCGTCAAGAAGGTAACTTTGGAGTGGGCTTGAAGGTGGGAAGGGACGTCTGCAGGGAGACAAGGGGCCCAGGGCCCAGAGAGGAGAGAGCAGGGCTTAGTGAGCCTCCTTCCTGCCAACGGCATGCGGCATCTGGCGGCACCTGCTCTGCTGACCCCCTGTGGGTTCTGTGGGTGAAGGGCCGGGGAGGCGGCCCTGGGGTCCCTGTGGACCTGACAGGTGCAGGGCAGGCCTAGGGTGTTCGGCCAGGTGGGCTCGGATGATCGAGGGTCCTCAGTAAAACAGCGTGGAGGAGACTCTGCTGGTAGGGCTGCGAGGTGCTCAGGAATGAGAGGAGGGAATGGTGTGTGAACTTACCTCTGTGTTACTTTCTGGAGCTCTATTGCAGGTTGGGGTGGGGGCAGCCACTTTGGGTCAGGATTTTTGGTGGCCCTGCTGGCCAGGAGCCGGCTGTGGTGAGGAGGAAGTCCCTGGTAATGACACCCAAGGAGGGCGGACACGGACAGAGCCCCAGAGCCCTGCACCACTTGCATCTGGACTTCTGCCTCTTTTTTAGGTTCAGCAGGCCCAGTGCACCCGCTGGTTGACCCCCTGACCGCTGGCCCTCACCTGGCTCGCTTTCCCTATCCCCCTGGCACCCTCCCCAATCCTCTGCTTGGACAGCCCCCCCATGAGCACGAGATGCTTCGTCATCCAGTGTTTGGTAAGAATGCGCCTGGGGGAGGAGGGGCCGGTGTGAGACTTGGGTTGGTATCTGATGTCCCGTCCGTGCATTCATCCATCCACGTATTCAGCAAACACCTTCTGTGTGCCGGGAATCCACCTGGGAACCGGGCAGGCAAACCCCTGCCCTCAGAGAGCTGGGGGTGAGTGAGTATAAATGAGTCCTGAGAGCCAGGACAAGGACAGTGTGAGATGAAGGAGTGACAGAGGCGCTGAGTCTAAACCGAGGGTTCAGAGTGGGCCTCTGTGAAGAAGGAAGAGCTTGAAACCTTGAGGACGAGGGAGTGCGTATCCCATCCTCCCCTGACCTCCACCCCTAGGGTCAGGGGATCCAAGGGCCAGTACTTTGGGCCTCCTCTCTCTTCTGGGGTGCAGGGGGGAGCTCTGCTACGCCGGCCCCTGCAGAGTAAGTAGGCTCTTACTCCCCCCCGCAGGGCTGTCTCCTGACCTGACCTCCTTGCTGGCCTCATCCTGGCCACTCCCCTGGCCTTTCTGTATCGAAGGCTGTTTTGTGTTTGGCAGGTACCCCCTACCCCCGAGACCTGCCTGGGGCCATTCCACCCCCCATGTCTGCAGCCCACCAGCTGCAGGCCATGCATGCCCAGTCAGCAGAGCTGCAGAGACTGGCCATGGAACAGCAGTGGCTGCATGGACACCCCCACATGCATGGTGGCCACCTACCAAGTCAGGAAGATTATTACAGGTGAGGTGGGGAGGGGCCAGAAGGGGGTAGGGGCTCGCTTTCTGAGCCCAGGCTCCCATGTACCCCACCTGTGGGCCACTGACCCAGCCTAATGGTCGCCCCTCCTGGCCGTGCCCACCGTGCTCCTCCCATATCAGCAAGTGCCAGACTCCTCCCCATGGCTCTGCGGGCCCTGGCCTCTTGGCCCTGGAGGGGACTCCCACGGAGCCATCTTGATGGGAGGGAGGGGAGGGGGGAAGGGTCACCTGCCTGGGAGGCCACTCCGGTCATCTGCACCCTCGAGCTGCATGCCTGGTCCCACCTTCCCAGGCCTGGTGCTGAATACTTTATCCCTTTGTTTTCTTTCTAGTCGACTGAAGAAAGAAGGTGACAAGCAGTTATAAGTTATTTATTTGTTAGCGCTGGCTGTGGAAACCCCAATTCTTGGGGGGAGAAACAGGACTTTTTACATACAATACGAGCTACAAAAGCAAAAAGAATATCTTCTAAAGATTTCTTTATATATTTAAAAACCCCACCACTAAAAATGTTATCAGCATAATAGTGTTTGTTTGTAGAGAGGATTCCTTGAGACTGGTTTGGGTCTCCCTGCATGACAGTCCCCCAGAAACTTAGTGAGTCCTGGACTGGACTGAACATTCAGAAAACTTTCCCTGCAATCTTGGGGTTTGGCTTTAGTTTTCTTTTCCTTCCTTGATTTCTTGGTAGGTGCTAGAATCCAGTTCACACCCTTCACTGTGCGTGCAGACACACTCAGTTACGTGTGTTCCAGAACCCACGAGGTTTGCAGATAGGTGGCATATGAATTTGGAATCCAAGAGCTATAATTTTTAAAAAAAACTTTTATTTTAATACATTGTAGGAGATCTTCATAATTTGAGAAAGTTCTGCAGCATGGCTTTTTACGTCTGTAAATAAATAATTTTAGAATGGCATTTTTTTTTCTTCCACAAACTATTCTGATCTATTTTTTCCAGCCATGTCACTAATTGTGAATTCCTACCAGCTATTGACAGAATACAGAGTTGATTTTTTAATAAAAAGTTATATATAATTATCCCTTTAATTAAAGGGAGCAGATGGGCGTTACTAATTGCAAACGGGCAGAGGCTTGGGACGCGGAGCGGTCGCAGCAGTGAGCATCCAGGGGTCTGCAGGGATGATGTTACGGACCGTTTCTTTGTTTTGCTGCCTTGATTTTCACTTCTGTCTGTTCCTAGCTTTTGCTTTGTCAGAGGTGCGGATATCTGTTAGATGAAACCGTTTTTATTTTGTCCCAGGAGTGCAGGAGTTAAATGTCCACCTTGTTCTGTCTCTGCAGGATAGAAAGAAAGCACATGTTTCTGTGTGTCTGATTGTAGATTTCCTTCTAGATTTCTGTGCACACACATTTGGTTGTTCTGGATGAACTGCCTTTTTAAATACTCTGACAATTTCATAAACATTCTAGAAAATTCAAGAAAACACCATTCCTTACAAAGAACTCAGCACACACACTTGCCAGAGGAATTTGTTTTTTAAAAAAAACCTCTTTTTGTGTGTGTCATCATTAGGATCTTCCTGTGGGGAGGCCAGGTCCTCCTGGCCACACAGCTGGAGGCCCCGGAGTTGGCATGGTTGTGGGTGGCGGCCTGTGCATCTCCCCCAGGAGCAGGTCCGTGCTTGGTGACCCACGTCGGATGGGGACACCATTTGAGTCCCACTGTTCCTCCTGGGAGTAGGAACACGAGTCGCAGCCACTGACGTGGAATGAAAAGGCAGGCTTCCTTGCACCTGGGAGCTGCCAGTCTGAGGGCTCCAGCTGTTCTGCAGAGCATCCACCTCTCCTTTCTGAGTTGCAGGCATGGTGTGCTTTCTCCAGGGCGGAGGGCGGGGGACCTGGGGACGTCTGCACCTGGGGATCCGGCCTTCTGTCTCAGGGTGTGATCTTTCCTGTTCCATCCCCCCTCAGACTCGAGGGCCGCTTCTGCCATTGTGTATGGTAGTCCCATCGGAGAGCTCCCGGACTGCCGGATGACGTGGCAGAGCGCCCGAGGGTCGGTGGGTGTGGGGTGTGGCCAGGACCAGAAGGCTGGCACGTTGACCCAGAAGCCAGCAGGCGTTAGCTGAGATTCAGGTTCCGGACTCAAACCTGCATCAGGGGCATTTCCAGTTTCTGTTAAAACTATGTTTGGTTTCAGTTGGGACAGACAGGATTGTTTTGTCTGCTGGGAATGTTCTGGAAATGTTTGTCGCTTTTCTCTTTCATTTTCTCCCGTTCCATTTCTGCCTTAACTTCAGCTCCTTAGAGGGAGGCGAGCTCAAAGGAATCCTGTGTCCCCAAACTCGGGCCGCACAGGCAGGAGGCACTTGTTTCCTCCGGGGGCAGGGCCGGCCCTCCTGCAGCTCCTGCCTGAGGCCCCCACCTCCTCTGCATCTCTTGTTTTCCTTTTGGTGGAACGCAGTGCCTGCCATTCAGTTAGACCTTCTTGACCACCTCTCTGTGTCATCCGTTTTTCCAAAGAAGAGACAGAGTGAAGTACTTAGAAGTCTTTACTTGAAGACTGTCTGAAGGTGTTTTCTTGTTAGGTTTTGGTTTTCCCCCATATCCCAAGGTGAAGCACTGAGATTCTTCCATTTAAGAACCTAGGACCTGAAACCCTCACCTGGTCAGCCAATTTGTTTAGGAGGCCCCAGATCTTCACAGTGTCTTTGAAGCCCGACCCCTTGGTTTCCTTTTGGATTTTCCTTCCTTTTGTTTGAAGTTTGGTTTTGCTTTTCTGTGTTTTGTACGTATCTTGTTGAATGTTGTCAAGATTGAGCTTCATGTCCCACTGCAGCAGCAGAGCAGAGTGTACATTCTGATTTGCTACGTTTATATATATCTTGAAGCTAAATGTATATATGAGTAGTTTGCCATGAGATAACACAGTGTAAACAGAGTAGACACCCAGAAATCGTGACTTCTGTGTTCTCTCCATTTGAGTATTTTGTAATTTTTTTGAAATATTTGTGGACATAAATAAAACCAAGCTACACTACAGCAGCTGGGTGTTCTCCAGTGGACTGTGTCTCATTCCTGGGAGTGGGTGGGGGTCTTGGCAGTTGCCCCTACACAGGTTCCCCAGGCTGGGGAAGGGGCAGAGGGCAGAGCTCGGGTCTCAGCTGTTTCTGACACACTGCTTCCCTACCCTCCAGAGCACCTTCCAGGTAGATTTCTTCCTGCCGTGTCTGGTAGGAAGGGTTTCTGTGGTGAGTGCTCTCAGGGATGCTCCGACCTACTGGCTTGAGAGAATCGGGACCCACAATGAGCTTACCCAGGCAGCAGAAAGGGCTGGGGGATGACAGCACTGGGACCGTGGACACCCTCTCCTCGCTCAGATTCCTCTCTACTCCTGCCTCTCACCCACACTTCTAATTTGGGGACACCCTCCACGGTGAGCAGGCATGTAGCTCCTTCCCTGCTTAGAGGAGAGGTCTTGAGCTGCCCACCAGTGCAGTGGCCTCCTCCTCCCATCCCCCCTTTGCCTCTCCCTGAGGTCTGCCCCTGTGCCAGCCCACCCTCAGAGTGCCCTCCGGGGTCGGGATGCATTCCAGCCGGTGGCCTGCAGGGTGTGGGTGTGGCCGTGAGGGGGCAGCAGTCATTAGAACGGATTCGGGCTGAGCTTTCTGACGCTGTCAAGCGCATTTTCGTAAAGCTTCAAGACTATCCCTGGAAGTTTATATGCTCGCCTTTCCATCTGGAATACGGGTTTCTAGATGCCCTGGGAGACGGAGCAAGAGCAACCCTATCGATAAACTGCCCTCAAACCAGGCCGACACCGCCTAGTGGTGGTAAAGGCCTGGGGAACGGCTTGTGTCGCTACCTGATTGAAGACGAGACGGTTTTGCCAACCAGGGGACCCCGGGGGGCATCCACACCGGTGCCCCTAGAGGCAGGTCCGTGTTCTCTGACAGCAGGAGTCCTGCTCAGCGACTTGGGTAACCCGTTAGGGGGGGATGAAGTTGAGGGGTCGGCTGGAGCAGATGTGGGGGGCACAAGTGACTCTCATTCTGGGTCACGAAGGCAGGATGGGAGTGGCAGGGGTGCGGAGGGAAGGGTGAGCGGCCGGCTTCTTACCTAGACGGCGCTCTTTATGAAAATAGCGTTTGGTGGCCTAAATGTATGAACTACAAATCCCAGATAGGTGAAGGGCTAAGGCCTCGGCGTCCGAATGAACATACGGATTGATGCTGCGGAAAAGACCCTCGGATCAGAGCTGCACAGGTGGCCCTGGTTTCTGAGGGGTGGACAGCTGTGGCCATCGTCCCCACCCTGCCATGCGCCCTTCCTGAGGCTGAGAGCCTGCAGCAGCGGACATTGGATTCAGGAGGAGGACAAAGCGTCTGCCGTCCAGCCACTGTGCCCCTGGCCGCGCCCTGGCCTCTTGCCGCTTGGATGAGCTGGCGTTGGAGTCCCCGTGGGTGGATCCTCCGCTTGGGCGTGGCGGCTGAGCAGCCCCTCTGGTCGGGGGGCTGAGAAGCGGGAGCTACGGAAACGGCCCTTGGCGGGGCTGGGTGCGTGGTCGCCGTGTTGCAAAATCTCTGGTAAGTTGAGGTGAGCCAGGCGGCTCACCCAGGCACCACCTGTGCAGGCTGAGGCCGCTTATCCACGGGGTAAGGATGCACAACGGCATCAGCAGTGACCTCCCACGTTGACACGGAGTCGCAAGACCCCCAAATACCAGGCATGTGAAGCCGAAGAGTTGTGGGTGCGGCGGCAGACGGGGGAAGGTCAGGGCCGGAGTGCTTCTGCGTGGAAGCTCACGAGGCATTTGAGGGGTCGCCCCCACGCCAGTCTCTGGCGGCCACCCGGTGAGACCCTGAGCGGTGTGATCTGGCACCAACACAGATTTCAGCTATCACCCTCGGCCTCTCCTGGCCAACCCAGTCGGCTCCCGGACTCAAAAGCTGTGGAATCCGAACAGGCCCAGTTATACCAGACAGCTGGGGTCAAGCCCCAGGCCCCAAGACCAGTGGAAGTATCTGTCCTGCACTTGACCCCTGAGCTGTGGAGACACCAAGGGGCAGAGGGACCCTTGGCCTCCCTGCCCCCTCCCAGGGAGAATCAGCCAGACGAGCCTGCCGGGGAGGCGGCCGCGGGGTTGGCTGTCCAGTTGGACTCCTCGGGCTGCAGGAGAGAGTGAGCTCTCTCGAGTCCTGGGACTCCTGGTGGGAGGCAGGGCCTGGCGGGAGTCCGGCTGTCGGAGCTACAGTGTCTCTTGTGGCTGGAGCCCGTGGCCAGGAACAGCGCGTGCTTTACCACGGGACTTGCCCACCCTTCCTGGCCTCTCTGTCCTGCATTTTTGGCTCCTGGAGGTCTCAGTATCTGAGGTGTCCTCTCCCTGGGTCCTCACTGGGTTCCCAGCTGCCCTGGGGGGCTCTGGCAGCTCGCATTCCGGACTCCGATTCTCTGACCGACCCAAGGCAGCTCCTCTGGTAGCTGTCTTCGCCAGGATCAGCTTCCAAGTCGTGTGTAACTGTTTTCTTCCGGCATATTGGCGACCCAGGCTGCAGAAGCTGCGCCCGCATCCCCCGACCCCGACCAGGTTCCAGTGTGTGGAAGGCACTTGCTTTGCAAATGTTTGCTGACTGAATGAACAGGCCCCCCACCCCCAGAGGGAGGCTCCTCGGTGCACTGACCAGATGTGCTGTTGAGTCATAGGCATGGGTGACCAGAGAGAAGGGCCTTTGGCCCCATCCAGGGAGCTGGTCACGACTGGGGCATCTGAAGTGACCCCTCTTTCTCCCTCAAGTTTCTCCCAATCCCGCCTCCCCCTGACCACCTGGGCCTGCTCTGGAATCTCACAGCCCCTCTGGCTCCGGCCCTGGTCTGCCGCATTCTTCGATGTTTGGGCAGGGAGGGGGGATCTGCTTTACAGTGGCGGCCTCTGTTGAACCCCTAGGGTGTGGGACACCCAACGTAGTGAATTAGATTAAAAACAGACCTGAAGGCACTTCTTAGAAGACCCTTCCAGCCTATGGAGGGCATGTTGTTTAAGAGCTGATGTCTTCTGTGTGCCTGTCCACCAGGGGTCTCTCCCAGGTCGCCCCTGCTCCCCTTATTTTTTGCACGGGCTCTGCAGCACCTTGGTCCTCGCGACCGCTCCTAGTCCTCACCACCAGGTGGCAGCATCTGTAAAGCCCTGGTGCCATTCTTCCGCCACTCTGCCTGCAGGGACCTAAGGTCCCCACCCCTGCGATGTAGGGGAGAGGTGTGTAGGAATGGTGATGCATATTTTGTAAAAGAATAGATGTTTCCTGGAGGCAAGCAGCCAGAGAGGAGGGATGGGGCGATCTGGGCAAGGGGCAACTGGGAACAGGTCACAGCCGGAGCATGGGAGAGAGATGGGGGCTGGGGGCTGCCGATGGCATGGGCAGGGCCCAGCATGGCTGTGACGGCAGGGAAAGGCTGTTGGGAGGACAGGAGGTGCTTCTCTGTGGTTTTCAGCTGCATTCCCCACGCTGGGCCGTACGCTAGGTGCTCAGCAAACATTGGCTGAGCGGCGATCACCCCGTGATCACCTCAGCAGTGGTGATTCCCAGCATGATGGCCCTAGAAGTTCCCTGGAGAGTCCCCCTGAGCTGCCGCTGCCCTAAGGGTCCTGTGCCCCAATTGTGCCCCCATCTCAGGACATCGGCGCCTCCTCCTCCGAGTCTTTCAGGAAGAGGGTGCTCGGGGGCCCTCCAGCCTGCTCACAGCTAGGACGAGGGCACAGCATGCCCCTGCAGACCCTGCACGCGTGACTTGAAGGTAGTGTGAAGCTGAGCACCTCACTGCACAGTGGGCCCTGGCCGTTGTCCGTTCTGGCACATTCCCTCAAAACCTGCGGCCCCGGGCGCCTGGGTGTGAGAACAC